CCGTATCTGGATGTTTGAGGATGGGTGCAGAAGTCAATAGTTCCTTTAATTTATCAAAAGTTGTTTGAGCCGTGGAGAATCCACTGGAATCCATTCTGCTTTCTCATGAGTTGTGTGGTTGGCAGAATAATTTTTTTTTAAAGTTGATACAATTTCAGTATGGTCAGATGGAACTGGCCAGTCCAGGATAGCAGATACCTTTTGGTGGTCCATAGCGATGCCACTGGTGGAAATAACAAATTCCAGAAACTGAATAGTTTGTCTCTCAAGTTCACATTTTTCCGCTTTAGCGAATAGTCCAAGTTGCCACAACCCTGCAAAAACGTGCTTAGCATGTGTCTGATGAAACTCAATTGAGGATGTTGTGCAGGTATACAATTAAAAATTGATCTATAAAGTCTCTAAAAATATAATTGACAAGATACTGGAAACTAGCGGGGGCATTGCAAAGGCCGAAAGGCATCACCAGGTATTCAAAATGCCCAAAACAAGTAGGGGAAGCAGTCTTCCACTCATACCCTTCACAAATTCGGACTAAGTTGCAGGCACCCCTGAGGTCTAATTTGGTGAAAATTGTAGCACTTCTGAGTCTCTGGAAGAGCTCAGGAATCAGGGGAAGGGGATAACGGTTTTTAATGGTTATCTGATTCAAGTCCCAATAATCAAATACATGGGCGCAGGGTATGATCTTTTTTCTCAACGAAAAATATAAAAGGACCAGCGGGCGAAATAAAGGGCTGGATGAATCCTTTCGTAAGGTTTTTCTTTTTGTAAGGTCCTTTAAAGTCTCAAATTCTGGTTCAGACAAAGGATAGATCCATCCATAAGGCATCTTGGCACCCGGCAAACGTTTGAGGGGACAATCATAAGGGCAATGAGGTGGCAGCATATCTGCTTTTTGTTTGCTGAAGATATCAAGATAATCATGGTAATGTGCAGGGACGCAGTGGACGGGTACAGAAGGAGCAGAAAAACAGTTCTGTACACAATAAGAGGAGCAAAAATCCACTCTGCCCGTTTGCCATTCTATTTGGGGGTTATGTGCTTGAAGCCAGGGTATTCCAAGAATTTTAGGAAACAAGGGGGATGAGATCACATGAAAACGCAGACGTTCCAAATGTCCTGGGAGAGTAGAAGCAGACATGGGTACTGTCTCCTGGATAACAGGGCCAGACTTAATGTTGGAGCCATCAGCCTAATTAATAATAAGTCTTTGAGCTTTGGTCTGCAAAGGAATATGATGGTGTTGTGTAAAATGGAGATCAATGAAACAGCTGCAGGCACTGAAGTCAATGATGGCTTGGGTATGTATTTCCCCTCACGGGAGATGCAACAAGATATGGAGAGTAATGTAAGATCTTTGGTTATTAGTCAATGAGTTAAGTGTATTTGAAGAGGGAGGTCGGAACCTCCTGGGCTTGTTCTGACAAGTCCTGGCAAAGTGTCCAGTCTCTCTGCGGTATAAACAGAGATTTAGCTGACAGCGACGATTCTTCTCCTCAAAAGATAGTGGAGATCGGAGCAGGCCCAATTGTATGGGTTTAGAGGTATCAAATGTAGAAGAAGGTCCAGCAACTTGAGAAGTTGAGATAGTTGTCAAAGGTGGAAAAACTCGAGGAAGCATCCAAGAAGGATGATACTGGTTGGTTCTTTCATATAGGCGTTCTCTCAAACGTCTATCAATCTGAATTGAGATTCGAATGAGCTCATCTAAAGTCTCTGGAATGCCTACTCGTGCCAGTTGCAGAGTGTGCAGGGTGGATTCCGCGGCAGACGCCCTGTGGGGGTCATCGTAGATAAGTGCCATTGCTTCGTAGAAAGCTGCTTCAGAGTCCAGAAGTGGACTGTTCTGTTCGAGTAGCCAGTGAGCCCAGGCTTGAGGCTCACCTTGCAACAAGGAAATCATATTGTATATCCAATCCTAGCAGTTTCAGAAGCAAAAGTCCATGGTTGGAGCATGAAACATAATTTACATGCGTTTAGAAACGTCTGAAACTTGCTGCAATCCCGAGAAAAACGCTCAGGAGTGGGAACACGGGGTTCTGGGGTTGGAGACTGAAGGAAGAAGAGCTGGTGCTTCGGCGGCAGGTGCAGTACCAGGAGAAGAAGTAGGCCCAGTCGGTGGGTTATGTGCCAAGGCCTGAAGTCATCCTTCGAGCTGGAAGTAACCTTCTTGTAGTCACTTGACTGCTGAGTGAGTGCTGCAATTTGTTGGCAAAGTTCCTCCATGATGAAGACCGCCGTTTCAAGCTCCGGATGGCTAAGTGCTACTGCCACGTACCTTATGGAGCTTGAGGTGACTAGCCTTGAGGAGCCTCTCTTGCAAGTTTAGTCCCGAGGTGCCTGAATATTGAGACAGGTGAGCTGTAGCACAGAGGGGCACGGGTGCCAGAAGATGAGCTTGATGTAGGAAGTAGGTCTTGTAGCTGCTCTGCTGTGCGACTGAACATAAAACGCACAGCAAAGAGCCGAAGCCAGGCAGGCCGGGTCAGCAACGTGCAGGCGAACAGGAGACTAAATTGTAGTCAGATGGCAGGCCAGACTCAGAACCATGCGGACAATGCAAGACCAGACAGGAGGCATAAGAGTAGTCAGACGATCCGGGGTCTGGATACCAGAAGATCAACGGGGACAAGTAACAAGCCGGGTTCAGCAACGGGAAGACAACAAAACAGGAATCAGGTACAGGGCACAATAGCTGACGCGTACTCAGCACTGGAGGCTTGGAGAGGCTAAGTTTAAATAGCCCATTTGGCACCACAATACATTGGATGTGCGCATGAGCATCCACGTGCATGTTGTAGAGCGCGCATGTGCACACACGTGCTCCTGCGCAAAGGTGAATGCCCCGACCTGGCACTATGGGCCATCCTGTGTGCATGCACAGTTACCCTAGTATGAGCTTCCTGACAGAGCCTCACAATTTCATCTGTACTTTTGGCCCCGTAGACTTCTATAGGAGCCCCTGAAAAAGTGCAAAAAGTTATTTTGCACTAACAATCATCTCCTTCTCCTGGGAAATAACTTCCCACTGACTAAAACAAATATCCAACCCTGAAAACGCATGAAAAGACGCACTTAACATAAACAAACCTTAAAAATAGTGTGAAAACGTTCTCACTCCTGTGTGAATGGGACACTATGCAACGTGTTTATGGTTGTGTATACATACAAACTGATGGAGCATCTGCAGGAACACATCACTACATACAAAATCACGCCATTAACACACAATTACATGTGATTTTTATGGTATCAGCACGGACTACCAGCGTGCAATAACCTCACAAACCTGTACGCTTTTTTTAAAACTGGGAGCAGCGGGGATCAGAGGGGACACAGAGCCCATGAAACACTGGCATCCAGCGGGGAGGAGAGAAGCAGAATCAATTCACTGATAATGAGAATCGTTGATGATTCCCATTATCAATTAGGTGTTTCAGCCTGACTATGCACCCCATCCTGATAAACACGGAATACAAATAACATCATGTATGTAGGCGCTGGTTTATTGTTTCTGCAGAGCCAGGTCACCAAAGCTCATCACACCCAACAGACCAGAGAAACATTCCCCCCCAATTATAATGGGTTTACCTTAGAGCTGCAGCTAACGATTATTTTCAAAATCGATTATTGGAAAAGTTGACAACTTTTTCAATAATCGATTATGTCGATTAGTTGTTGCAGCCCTAGTTTACCTAGTCTGTATGTTCAAAAATTGTTGAACAGATGAAGGCGGCCCACCACCATCCTCATATGTAAATGTGATGTCATCGCTCCCCGGGATCTCATTTCAGCAAAGTGGTTGAAAATCGATATATAAATTGCTGCGTGTATGGCTGCCATATTAAACCTAAATCTGCCAATCAGCATCAAACCTGAGACATGAAACAACACTTGTAGGACCCAGGCACAGATTTTGGAACAGGAAGTAAGGCGCCCTCCAGGAAGAGATATCACAGCATGCACTCAGGGACAGGCAGCAACACGTGACATTAGCAGGCAGTGTTGTAGAATTTAGACGAGACCATGTATCCTGACAGTGGGATCATTCGGAGGGCTTTCACAGCATAACTGATCAGAGCACATAGCTAAAACGCGGATTGTTCCACTATAGATAAGACAAGGTACATAATATTTGGAATCACCACATGAACAGGGACACCACACCCCCATATGCAATATATACCAACTAAGAAAAAGATGGGGCTTTTAAAGGTGTCAACTAAATGATGCCAGGGATCCCAATCTGAAACAAGTCATTTCAGGGAGGTGCCCTTTCCATTTCAGGGAGGTGCCCCTTTCTCTGAGGTGGGGGAGGGGGGGCAACAACAAGAAAGAGAGCACCCCCCTGAAATGATGGCAAATAGCAAAGAGAATTCATGACACAGGTTTGTTTTGCACAATATACTATTTTAGGTTTATGACAGATAGGGATCTTTATTCAATATTCAGGCAGCAGCTCATGTGACATTACCAGGCAGTGCACACGTGACATGAGCAGGCAGCAGCTCATGTGACATTACCAGGCAGTGCACACGCGACATTAGCAGTCAGCATCACATGTGACATTACCAGGCAGTGCACACGCGACATTAGCAGGCAGCAGCACGTGACATTACCATGCACCGAAACACGTGATATTAGCAGCCAGCAACACATGTGACATTAGCATGCAGTGGTGCATGTGACATTAGCATGCAGTGGTGCATGTGACATTAGCAGGCAGAGGCACATGTGGCATTACCAGGCAGCAGCACATGTGGCATTACCAGGCAGCAGCACATGTGACATTACCAGGCAGCGGAACATGTGACATTACCAGGCAGCGGCACATGTGACATTACCAGGCAGCGGCACATGTGTCATTACCAGGCAGCGGCACATGAGACATTACCAGGCAGCGGCACATGTGACATTAGCACACAGTGGCACACATTACATTACCAGACAGCAGCACATGTGACATTACCAGTCAGTGTGGGCAGCCATGCTCTCACCTTGTAGCTGTGCACTCCCAGTTCTCTGAGCTCCTCTGGTGACACTGGCTGGTCCGGCTGTAGCCGGTGTTCTCTCCTCTGATCCACATCAGAGTCATCCATGTACCAAGCCTGCACCATGCTGACGGCTCCTGAACCAATTTTTCTTTGGAATCGATTCTATTCAGTGAACTAGAGGAATGGATTGCTCAGACTGAGCTGATTCCTTTGTAAAACTTCAGTGTTATATCTATAGGAGAGCAGGACTTGTACTATGATCCCAGAGGGAGAGAGAGATCAGCCCCTCCCTGCAACCAATCAGAAAACTCAGCCCCTCCCTGCAACCAATCAGAAAACTCAGCCCCTCCCTGCAACCAATCAGAGTGCTCACATTACTCTGAGACTCAAGAACTGAGTAGCTGCTCTGTTCTGCAGCAGCTTCACTGAACGGTTTGGTTGCACAGAGCTAAGCACAATGATAGAGGAGGATATTTTTGACTAATAAATACCATTTTCCAACAAATATTTGGTGTGCTCGTCCACCAAAACATTACATTGTAGGTTCCCACGCTGAATTGGTCTCCTCCATCGGGGTTCAGGCACCTTTCTCCAGAGCTGCCAGGTGTGCCCACAGTTAACATGCCCGCTGGTGCTCTGTCCCCACCTTCTGCCTCACACACAGCATCCTGCATTCACTTTTGCTGCGAATGCCAAGTGGGCAGTGCTGAGTGTTGACTTGCAGCACAGAGTTCAGCAGCAGTTTGATAACTCAGAACTCGAAGTAGCTGAGCAACTGAACTCGCCTCTGGTCACAAACTTACAAGAGTTCTGAGTCAAAGAATCATGAGTCTCCACCAGTAGGACACAGTACACTGAATCAATGGCCAGGTTGCAGCAATGGAAAGGGACAGACAGCCTTGCAGGGGGATAAGAGAGATGATACAGAGTCTGAATGAGAGGAGATCCCCATTCACATTGATGCTTTAACACTAGGATATAGTTGTTTTCTCCTGAAGGAAATATGTATGTTAAAGGGACAGGCAAAGACATATGTATGGTAAAGGGACAGGCAAAGACATATGTATGGTAAAGGGACAGGCAAAGACATATGTATGGTAAAGGGACAGGCAAAGACATATGTATGTTAAAGGGACAGGCAAAGAAATATGTATGTTAAAGGGACAGACAGTGACATATGCAGTGGTGAAGCTAGACATTCAGTCACTTGGGTCAAAGAGTTGACCCGCCCCCCGCCCATCCAAACAGTGCCCCTCCTGATCCCCCACAGAGGTGAGGCTTCAAATCGCCTAATTTTCCAGTGCTGCTTTGTTCATTTAGGAGCCGCTTCTGGACTTGCTTTCATTTTCCCGGCGGTGTCCCTACTAATCTGAAAGACTTGAATGAGTGATTTCGAGGCTTTGTGGTGGATCAGGAGGGGTGCTGCCGCACCAAAAGAAGACAGCACAGAAGCAGGTCTAAACACACTGATCCACCACGGAGGTCCGTTAAGCAGCAATACATTATAGAGCAATGCAGAATACCACCAGCTAGAGAGGACTACAAATCCCAGCAATACATTATACAGCAATGCAGAATGTCGCCAGCTATAGAGGACTACAAATCCCAGCAATACATTATAGAGCAATGCAGAATATCACCAGCTATATAGGACTACAAATCTCAGCAATACATTATACAGCAATGCTGAATACCGCCAGCTATATAGGACTACAAATCCCAGCAATACATTATACATCAATGCAGTATACCACCAGATGTAGAGGACTACAATCCCCAGCAGTACATAATACAGCAATGCAGAATACCATCATCTATAGAGGACTACAAATCCCAGCAATACAATATACAGCAATGCAGAATAATATGAAACAACATACTCTGTGTTGCCCTGGGGTAGCAGGCTAATGTCAGTACTAGTGCAGAGGTCAGTGGTGTAATGCAGAGTGCAGAAGTCAGTAGTGTAATGCAGAGTGCAGAGATCAGTGGTGTAGCACAGAGTTCAGAGGTCAGTAGTAATGCAGAGGTCAGTAGTTAGTAACACAGAATGCAGAGTTCAGCGCTGTAGCGCAGAGGTCAGCAGTGTAATGCAGAGTACAGAAGTCAGCAATGCAATGCACAGTACAGAGGTCAGCGATATAACGCACATTACAGAGGTCAATGGTGGAACTCAGTGTACAGAGGTCAGCAGTGCAATGCACAGTACAGAGGTACATGGTGTAATGCAGAGTTCAATGGTGTGACGCACAGTGCAGAGGTCAGTGATATAATGCACAGTAGAGGTCAGTGTTGTAACACAGCGTGCAGAGTTTAATGGTGTGACGCACAGTGCAGAGGTCAGCAGTGTGACATATAGTCAGAGGTCAGTGGTGTAGCGTGGAAAGAACAGGGACTTACAGTGTACACAGTTGATCTGATTTAGGTGCTCTGCCCTCATCCTCTCCAGATGGTGGTGGTGGCAGGTGCAGGAATGTTGCCTCCATGTACCCTTAGTACATGTATCATGTACTCCAGAAATATACAGGCAGCCTATGGTATTGCTGCAGTCTCCCCCCCCCC